GGGGGGTCCAAGAGGATGTTAGCCCCGGGACCAATCAATAGTAGAAATAGCCTTAGCTTATTAATGGACCAAAGGTTAAAGGTCTCATTACATCTCATCAAACTTAATGGATAACATAGATATGTCCATAATTGAAAGGATGAGTTGGCAAACCCATGTGGCATTACTGGGTAACTAGGTATGCCTACATTGGCAGTTAGGGATGAGCACATTTCTTTGGGGTGGATTTCTATCTCCCCAAAGTTTTTGCCACAATTGTTTGGAATTCCAATCTTCAATCCCCAATTTTGCTCATCCCTTACTGCCACAGTAGGTGTAATGGATCCCCGCCATCTGCGCATGTGCAACCTGCACGTTCCCGTACTGCTCGGGAACGCGCCATTCCCGCGCATGCGCAGAAGCAGTAACCTGCGAGCACGAATATGCGCCATCCCGCGCATGCGCAGAAGCAGTAGCCTACCAGCACGAAAATCCGCCATAGCGGCGCACAGGAAATGACATCACTGGCCCTATATAAACCCAGCAGCAGTACCACCATGTTGCTGGTTTATCGTCAGCTAATCCTTGTTCCAGTTTGTTGATATCTTGCTTGATCCTTGTGACCCGGACGTCCTCGACAAACCTTGAATTCTGCCTGCCTTGACCACGGAACTGTTGGTTGACCATTCTTCTGCCTGACCCCTTTTGTACTGGAATTGCCCGCTTGGAACCTGACCTCGGCTCGTCTCATTGGATTACGGCTTGCACGATGCTCAACACCACTGGCACTCCTGCCACTTGTTTTCCCGCTGGGCTCTGTTCCCATCCTCAGAGTCTCCCAGGACACAAGGTGCAAGGGAAGCCTCCTCTCACATCCGGTCTCCCAGAAGGTACGTAACAGTAGGCATACCCAGCTACCCAGTAATGCCACACAGGGTTGCCAACTCATCCTTTTAACTATTGACATATCAAATGTTATCCACGGTTTAAGTTTAATTAGATTCAAGGAGACCTTCAAGCCTCAGAATCTGACTTGGTAACCCCCCGCGATGCCCAACCAAGAGGACCACTTGTGGAGAATTCCGCCTGCGGTCTGATATGTCGCTGATCACATTTGCTCAGTCCTCGGGCATAAATGTAATTAAATTAGCTGAAACGATATAACTTTCAATAATAAAAGCCGCCTCTTCATCCAGCGATGGATAGGATTGATGTCGCTATAATGACCTCATTTTGAAGTCGTCTCTTCATTCCACAGACGGGCTGTATCTTCTCTTTTACATCCTCCGCCTTTGGTTTATGGAAAGTCGATGGCGGGGTAAATACCTCCACAGGTGATACACGACGGCGGTGTGACAAATCTGCTTTTTCCCCCTTTTCAGATTTAATTTGTCTCATTTTAGGCCGGTATAATTTTTTGTTGCAGTTTTATGTCCACTGCTGATTTTACTTTCTGTAAATCCCTCGTCCCTTACAAGTGTTTCTGGGAAGCGATATATCTCCATCCTTATCTGGTGTGCACAGTTTACGTCCTTTTACAGTACCGCTAATACCGCTCCACGAGAAGCTACTGACCTAATCATAACCTATTAATTACCGCCATAAATTCCCTGACGTCCCGCGCAGCCCTCTGCAGGTTCAACTGGGAATCCAAGACTTTTAAATCTTGCTCCCTGGGAGGGGCAATGGCGCAGCGTCACCTCCCGGCCCCCGGGGCGAATGACCTCCCAGGCCGCGTACTTTCTGCTTTATGATCATTAACATTTAAAGGACCAATTCACTCTGAAAAACTGATATTTCCTTTGTTGGGCCATCACTTGATGGTGTCTAGTGCCTGTAGGGGCATTGCCAGGATTGTGAAAGACCCGGGGGAACCCATGGTCATTTTAAGAAAAAAAATGATGTATATGTAATGTACAGCCCAGTGCAGTGCTCAGGAGTATGTAATATACAGCACAGTATATAGAGTGCAGCAGGGGCCTAAGACTGTGGGGGGTTAGGTCCGGCCCTGGGCACCTTCCCCCCTCCCCCCCCTCCGTGGAATACAGGGCAGTGCAGGGTCCTGTAGGTGGTTCAGGGGCCAGTGTGATCCCCTCCCCCATCCGCCCCCCCCCTGCCGTCTTGGGAGGGGGGCCCAAGATAAAATCTTGCACCAGGGCCCTTTGGTTATTAGGTCCGCCACTGGCTTCTAAGGCTCTCAGGGGGGCTGTGAGAAGTCTCAGGAGGCTGTGTGGGGTCTCAGATGGGCTGTGTGGGTTCTCAGGAGGCTATGCAGGGTCTCAGGGAGCTGTATGGGGTATCAGGTGGCTGTGTGAACCCTCAGATGAGCTGTGCAGGGTTTCAGGAGGCTTGCGGGGATCTTTGAAGGGATGTGCAGGGTCTCAGGTGGGCTGTGTGGGGTCTCAGGTGGGCTGTGTGGGGTCTCAGGTGGGCTGTGCAGGGTCTATAGTGGGCTGTGCGGGGTCTCAGGAGACTGTGTGGGGTCTACGGTGGGCTGTGCAGGGTCTATGGTGGGCTGTACGGGGTATATGGTGGGCTGTGCGGGGTCTTAGCAGGGTCTCACCAGGGGTCCCCGGTTGGTCTCGCGGGCGGGTATGGGTGACGTGGATTCAGGAAGGAGAAGGAAATGTGCGGTCGGCGCTGTAAACATGCGCCATGGTTAACAAGAAGACTGCCTTGCTGCGGACCCCGGCAGCCTTCCTGTGAATGGCAGCGCCTGTTTATATAGCTGGCTTCAGTTTAAAAATTGAAAGCGCCAGCAGCGGCTCTTAGTATCGGGGGCCCAGTATCGGCACATCCCTAACGGGATCCTTCCCTTGCGTGTGCGGAAGCCAGCGGTTCCTGTAGGCGTCGCTGGTCTTGGAGCAGGAGGCTGCATTTTGAGCAGAAGGCACCCTCTTTGCTATTGTCGGTGTTGTATCTTGACACAACACCGGGAATTAGGCAGCACCGGGAGTAGGTACCTGCACGGCGTCCCTCCATGGAAGGACCTCATGGTAAATCCGGCCCTGTTAATGCACGGTAACGTGTTGCAATAATAAGGTAGCATACACTGTTAAGCAGGCCCGGCGCTACCGCAAGGCAAGTCAGGCGGCCGCCTGAGGGCGCTGCAGGGTGAGGGCGGAAAAAAACAGGGCATTTTGACAAGTATGGGGGGGTTGGTTGCGGGGGGCGCAAAAATTTTACTTTGCCTGTGTTGGCAAAAATCCTAGCACCGGCCCTGCTGTTAAGAGTATTGCAGCACCAATATGTGACCGGGGCAGATGGAAGGATTGGCCACTGGGGGGCGCTCCACTGTCATCTCTATTTCAACCACCATTCAGTGAGCCCATGGGGCAGCAGCGATGGACCCCCGGACATATTCTTAAGCGGGAAAACACATGATTGTGACATCCCCCGCCCATCCGTGCATCCCTTTGTGTTCTATATTTCCCTGAGCACAGCGACAAGGGGAAATCTTTGCCACAAAGTTTATTCCGGGTGATTTTTCCATCTCGACACTTTAATGGAGTTCCTCTTTCACCGACGCTTTAATGTTGTTTTCTTGGCGCCCCCGGAGTTCCCCTTTAAGGCAATCATGCTCAGAAGAAAGCCGGCCTGCCGAGATTTTATCCCTTACGATGGGATTCCAGCGGCCCGCTCCCGACTTTCCGCCGGCGCGCTTTGATCGCGGCGAACCGCTGCACGACGGGCTCTGAAGCCTCTGCCGCTGCGAGCAACAAGCTGCAGCTGTGCAGGAAGTTTAATTAGAGGCCTGAGCCTCGCGGGCCGCCGGGGGAACTCCGCCGCGCCTTGTTTCCGAGTCCTCGCAATGCTGATGGCTTCCTTTCCATGCAGCGGGTGGCGGCGGCGGCAGCAGCAGCTCAGGCCTCGCTCTCTAGTCTGGCGGCTGGGAGCTTTCGACGCAACTGGAAGCTTTTTTTTTTGCACGGCGAGTGATATTTAACCTCCGCCGGCTGCCATGGCCCAGCGACCGCAAACTGCTCTTTATAAATATCCTTCTTGATCAATGCAGATAGAGGCCAACGCGCCTGCGGCTGCAGGGTGGAGGAACCGGCGGCGTC